GGCGTTGGGGCAGACATTGTGCAAACTTCCCCCCGCATCTCCAGGGGCTTATTTACTGCAGGATGAATGGGTTCCCGGGCCTCCCCATCAGCATCACCCACTGGAGCTGCCCATGATGCTCCTTCCATCCCCTCCTCGTACGACGGGAGGCGTCGTTCCCTCTTGTGAACCGGCGCGACGCTGATTTGCATTGGGCTTGCTATTTCAGTCCCGGGAGCCCCAAAGTTGCCAGATTAAGTTCTTTCGTTGTTTTTACACACGTCCCTTCGGGGCTGGGCTGAGCTGTTAAAAATAAGGCACTAGAAAGACAAATGGTTTCCGGGGGGTGTGGGGGGGAGAGGAGGGAGAAGGGAAGAGGAATAGGACAGCTGTAAAAGGCTGCAAGGTTAAATAAAACATTCGCCTACTTGTGTAGTTTTAACTTGTGTTCCTGAAACTAAGAACGACCTGAAGAAACTGGAGGAATCATTCTGCTTGCTGTGTATGTTGTGTGTGTGTGTTTTTTTTTTTTTTTTTAACTTGTTATACAAAACATTGTTTTTTCAATTTCAGGAAGTCTCTTGATGCCCTTTAGTTGATTTTGTTTTGCTTGTTATCTGGACAACTAATATTTTTTCCTGTTACGGAGAAAAAAAGATTTTCCCAAGCAGATTAAAGATGTTTTTTAAGTGTATGAATGGTGACATGGTTCACTTTCATTGCTTTGTTTATTTTTAATAATGAAAAACACCTTAATTTATCGTAGCAAGACGTCCATCCTGGAGTAAACCTTGAATCAAGTTTTCGCTTGTTATTTCTGATTTGTTTGGGGCTTATCTAAGAGCAGGCTGCAAGCCTGTTTTCATGCTTTTGTGAGGCTGTGGCACATGACGGAGTTTTCTTTGCAGCACATCGATGCTGCTGGACAAGGAGCGCAGCTTATGAGAGGGGTCTGCTTTATCTGGTGGCTTTGAAGAAATCCAATTATTCCTCCGGTGGCATATTTTATGCCTGTATGGATGCAAGCAGGACAATGGGAGATCAGGTTTCTGGGCTTTAATCTTCTTCCCACTAGCTAAAAAGGATGAGCAGCCTCTGTGCAAGGCTTTAGTGTGAAGTCTACAGGTGAAAGCTCCAGTTGCTGGGCAGGTGAGAAGGAGCTGCTGGGTCCTTTTTCTTAGCAGCTATGGCGCAGTAGGATGAAGGAGCTGGAACCATGCAATGGCTGGCTGGTCCCTGCTGATGCCAGGGGGCTGGTGGGTGAGGATGCCCCTCCAGTAAGCAATAACAGGTAGTGGTGGGTGCAGAGGAACCTGCTGGTCCCTGAGGGGTGGGGGGGGCTTGGTGTCTCCTCGTCACTGCTGCTGCTCAGCCCACTGCTGTAGATGTTGTGCTCTGATAGATGGATGAGTGTCTGGATCCAAGCACAACAAACATCCCCACTCGTCCCTTTACCCACCCGCCTGGAGGAAACACCCGGGGCTGTCCTGCCCGCTGACGGCACGCAGGAAGCGCAGCGCTGGTGTTTTTCTTGGCACCAGGACCAGCGATGCTAGAGGCTTGCACGTGCCACCTGACCCCAGTGAACTGCCTCCACCAGCGGCCGCGGGTCGTTTCCTCGCCCTTTGGAGGAAAGGCCAGGCTGCTCTGGTCTCTGGGATGGCTCTGGGTTAGCATCAAGCTTATGTTAGGATCTTGCAAAAAGGAGGCTTTCAAAAGGAGGGAGCACCTTGCTCCCTGAAATACCTGAAGGCAGAACTCAGCTTCACCCTTCCTGGCTATCTAACAACAGAAGTGGCAGTGCAGAGAGCAGGTGCTTTCAAAGAAGGAAAACAAAATCTGTGAGCAGGAATATAGCACCATTACAGCTGTAACTAGAAGGATCTGGAGCTGGTGGTGAGAACAGCTGCACCCAGGGACCTCTTGGACAAACAGCTGGATCAGGCCCAATGCAGGGATGTTGTTGCCTCATTATGTTCGCCACTGAAACATGTGAGTTGCTGCATATGATCACTTTTCCAAATTATGGTGGTATGGCTACTACGACTTTTACATGCTCTTATTGCAGCAGTGATGGAGAAGTCCTGGTCAAGACCAGCAGCCTAGGGTATTAATTTCTGCTGAAAGGTGCAGGAAAATATTAGCAGAAAGGAATTATAGAGGGGAAAATGCCAAAATGGCATCGTGTATATGTGTGCACACAGATCCATGCTGCCCTCACACATGGAGGACTGACTGAAGGAGACGTCCTGGGAGGAGAGGCTCTTAACCCCCCCCTCTTAATCTACATGTCAAAATCATTCGGAAACTCATTTCTGTTTTCTATGGCTGACTCATACAGCCTTTGGTTTATTTGGCCCTGTGGCAAGTGTGGGAAAAAGCTGAGAAGGGAGTGATGGAGCCTGGGTGGATGGGGGAGAGGATGTGAAGAACACGTCTTAGGCAGCAAACCCCTCACTTGGCTCTCACCGCTAATGCAGGCAGCTAACTAATGGGTTTGCACGACAGTACTGCTCATCCTCAGAAAAATGGACCACTCATTTAATAACAGGAGAACAAAGGTTGGGGGAGGCATAGCCAGCACTCCAGGCACATAAAAATCAGAAAGGAAACCAAAAAGTTTTTGATGAGGTTTAAATGTGGGCCTTGTAACAGTGCTGGGAAATGATGAAACATCCTAGGCATCCATCATTACCCTGATTTCAAGACAATGGGTCTGAGGGCCAGCTTGGTGCAGGGTTAGGTCAGCCTTTCCTGCCAACCTTGCAGCCACGGTGAGCTGTGATCCTGAGGAGCCCCTCATCAGGGGCACGGGAGGAAGCCCTGGGGCCATGTCATGCAGATGACAGCTGAGATGGTAACAGGTAGCCAAGGGCTTTGAAGACCTGGTGCTCAAAACCAGGAAGCCAGACACCTCTTGGTCTAGCCTGCTGGACCGTGGAGTCAATCTCTTGTCCTCCATATACCTCCCTCTGGTTGTATGCCCTGTGTACAGTGCTGGGTGTGCTCCGGATAGACACCTGCATGAGGAGGTGAGCAGCTCAGGGAGCACAAGGGACACATCTGAGTCCAGTGGTGCATTTGTTCTGCATGAGGCAGGCAGAGCAAGAGAAGCATCAGCCAAAATTTTCTCTTCCATGAAAACCACCCACCGGGTTTCAGAGTGCTGTGTGCACAAGCATGTGTGTCTAGAGACGCGGGACGCGTGTTCCCACTTTAGCTATTTAAGAGCAGCAGTGTAAATGGGCTCCCCAGGGAGTCCTTGCTGCCTCTCTGCTGGAGGAGACACAGCTGTAAAGCATCATTCAGGAGGAGAAAGCATGGGAGAAATGGAGGTTGTCTCTGATGCCTTTAAAAATCTGGTATTATTGAACACAGAGCTACTGTTCCCAGGCTGCAGAGTCCTCTCTGATTTTGTGGCAAAATCAGGTGGCTGAGGTCACTGATCACAGCTGTACAGCAATGAATCTTTCAAGGATGCAGGATTATGACTTGTGGTCCTGTGAGATCAAGCAGAAAGAAAATCTTGACCTTGAAAAGGGAAAAAGCCTCTGAACTCTGAGACCAGCTAACTGCAAAAATAGCCACGAGAGCTAGGAAAAAAACCACCATCCTAATATATTCCAGTATGTATAAATAGGCTTTCTTTTCCCCAAATATTCTTCACTACAAAAGGAAATGTCATGTTGAGTCAACTTGTGACCCAGATGAAATGACATGTATTTGTTTATTTTACTTATGCTCCTGTTTACAATAAGTTGCACTTGGTGGACATACTTTTGTGCGTGCTGTCGCATTCCAGTATCAAAATACATTTTTGCTTTTGCTGCCCAAACTCTGGCTGGGGAACTGTGTTTCTGTATATCAGTCACATAAATGAAGAAGCTGTGTGTGTGTGTACGCACTTACTAAGGACTCATTGCTCCGTAAATTAAACCTAATTATGCATACAGAATAGTGATGAAAGCCTCTCTGTTTTTTATCAGCTATATGATTTTAAGAAGGAGGAGGAGATGCGTTTGCTACCCGGGCCAGTTCCAGGAAAGTGTCTTGATGGGCCCTGGACAGGCTTTTTAACCCTTTGCTTTAAGGTCTCTTATATAGAAGGAAAGTAAGATATCAGCCCAAGGAATATTTGGGATGTTCCTTTCCACCCTCTGAGTGTGCAGTGGTTGCTCTGGACATGTTTTGCAATCAGTGAATTGAATGTTCTGGCCAGTGGTGGATTTTGTGGTTCACGGAGAGTGCTTGTTGCATTGTGGCTGGCTGTTCCTGCAGGATGCTCGCTATGCGGCATTGTTTCGGGCTCCCGTTCGGGTGGCGTGCGCCTCACAGATGGGGATGCCTTCTAAATGTTTGTGAATCATCTGTGGCTGTTCGTAATGCATAACTGTATTTGATAAGAAGCTATTTTCTTACTAGCCACCTGGGTGCTTCCCATACAGACTGCACATGCAAGGGTCTATTCATGTTGGCCTATACAATGGATTTCCTTTCCAGGAGCATTCTTGGAAATAAAGCTTTGCTCCCCAAATGTCTGTGAACAACAAGGTTTATGGATTCCACCTAAACAAAGCAATGTTTTTAGTAGCGAGAACATTAATCAATATTGTTGTGCTGCATTTTCCTGGCTCTGGGTTATGCCAGCAGCCCACTGGAGGCTGCAGCTTTTGTTTAAGTGTCAGCACATAAGTACAGAAGGGTTGGCTCAGGAGAATGTTGCAGGACGGAGACCAGAGCTCTGGATTGTTTTATTGCAGGAATCGGATTAACACATATGAGCTCATTCTCAGCTCTTCATTGCATTGTGTTTGGCAGTTCCTGCAGCATGATTGCATCTAGGTTAAGTGGCATTGTTCTGGAGTCCGGCAGGGAACAATCCAGTATTGACTAAAAGAGGGGGAAGGACGAGATGATCTCATAAGTTTTCACCATTTTTTTTGGTACCTGTGTTTCATTCGTATGTTCATTCTTTTAACTTTCTTCTCTGCCTCATGACAATTATTCTCCATAAACAACAGGTGGGAAAGCTCCATGTGATGGTGCAGTTTGGAGTCTGTGTGCTCAACCAAGCTGGGAAGGAACAGTCATCCATTATGGGCCTGCTTTAAACATGTGAAGGACAGGACATCTCCCGTCACCAATGCCTCTACTTGCCCACATTAGCTCTTTTGCTTCCCACTACCTCTGTTGAGTGCTGTTCTCCCAAGGGGAGGTTATGGGAAAAGCCTCTGACCATCCCAAGCATCACGCAGAATGTGGAGGACTACGTTGTTCAGACTCAGCGAGGTCTGTATGAGCATCTGCTGAGCAGAACTTATGCTGTGCAAACTGCTCTAGGAGTGCACGTGGAGCACTATCAATATGGACTTGGACTTTCCTGGAGAAAACAGGACTGCTCCCAACCAGCAAGGGTGTTTGGGCAGCTAATATCAAAGGAAATCAATTTCTGACATTTTGAAAATCTGGATCTTGCTCTCTATGGACACCCGTGTCTTGTTTCTGTTGACACCCAAGCACTCGCTGGTTAACAGCAAAACGCAGATTTCACTGAACATGTTGACCATGCGTCATAGATCTGAGCACAGATCAGCCGAAAAGACTTGGTTAAAGGCCAGGAAAAATCTGCCTCGAACAGGAAAAGTAGGGAAGCTTATTTTTGCAATCGAGGTGAAAGGAATTGAAAGATCTCATTTTCTTCTCTCCTCCCTGGAAACGCTTCCTAATCCTAACAGTGAGACTCTTGTGGGAGCAAGGATGTGAGGATGGAAGAGAGACCTTTGTGTATTACTCTTCCAAAAGCAGTGTTGGGTTTCCTCCAGCAATCTGGAGGAGCTTCGCCACATCACTTGTAGCTGGTGCTGTCATTTCAGTTGCCCTTTTTGCATTGAGTGGGAGAATCTGTGGGTCTCATGGAGGAGCTGGCAGGCAACAGTCCTGGGACAAATGGAGTATGTGTGGGTCTGGCAGAGGGTGTGGAGTCACTGTGCGAGTGCCTGGCCTGTTTACATGTACCCAAAGAGCGTTCAAGTTGTGACTTGAACAGGGGATTGCTAATGCCAGGTTTGTCGGTGGTGGGAGAGACTCTGATCATCCACCTGGTGGGGTGTTTTGGGAGGCTGGTCTGCACCCACCACCTGCAGAACTTGGGCCTCTGCAGCTTTGAAGCATGTAAACTTAGCTCTGAGTCCTTTGGTCACAAAAGGTATGAAATACACAGGTGTGCTTCTGACTCAGTTGGAGGCAGCTGTTGAAGGTGGATAGGCTCCTCCAGTCCTTCTGAAGTTGTTTTACAGGAAGAACTTTGTCTGCCGCCAGGACCTCCTTCCTTCATCTCAATTTCGGTGTGTCACCATCTATTTCTGTGCAGATCGCAGTTCAGAACCAACCAGATTGGCTTCAGCCTCATCACACAGATTTTACTTAATGATAATTCTTTGTGCAGTAGTTCCTACACACTTGTGTTAAATTGGACACGGGGTGTGCCAGGCACAAGTATGCTGGGGGAGGTCCCCATCCTGCCAGCTGACAGACAGGAGTTTGCAGAGGTGTCCCTGCAGCTCTATTTAGTGAGTTGGCACTTCTCCGGACTGCTGGTTGACAAAACTCTGTCCCAGGACAATTTTAGAAAGTTTTCTTACTTTCTACTGTGGCAGTAGTAAGCTCCAGGTGTGCATCATCTTGCCTGTCATAGAAAACTGCAGGTGCCATTCCTCACTCGTTCACAAAGGCTTATCTAGCCTGGTTTTAGCCAAAGCCAGCAAAATACTCCTGAAAGGAGTCCAGTGTCATCTTCATCTCCTAGCAAGGGAAATTGAGGCACCAAGTGCTGGATTCAAGGCAGCCTGCAGGCTGGTTGTGAGTGGTGTTTTAGGTGCATGCACTCTTCCCAACGTGGGCCCCCTAGCCTGGCACAGCCAACCCTGGCAGGGAGCCGACCTCGCTGGAGGCATTCCTGCAGAAAGGGAGAGGCAGGTTTCCTCGGGGCTGAGTACAAATACACCCTGGCAATGAGCAGTAGGTGGTGTTGCACCGACATGTCAGAGAAAAGCCTGTTTGTGCCAAACGTATCGGAGAAACTGTTTTGGAATGGTTCATTGGTGTGAAGACAGGGCCCCAAAATAGTGTCGGGAGAAGAGGAACTGTAGCAACATGCTGGGGACGTGCCAGCTGTCTGCATTAGACAGAAGGGTGGTAGATTAGGAAGGAACATGGGTGCATTTATTCCTCCACATTTTTCCCCACATCTCTTTAAAAAATCCTGCAGGAGAGGACACTGCTTCCCAGCCATGGGTGCTGTCATGACCGCACCAAGACAAGGTGAGGTGGTGCTGCCACTGGGGGAGCATGACAGAAATGCTGTTCTCCACAGGGCTCCCTTGTCTCTGGTGGGTGTTGTAGGGTGGGTGAAAGATGCTGGGTGGGAGATGGGGCCTTTGGACTATAGGAAATCAGTGAACCCTGGGGATCTGGGGTATTTCTGACCACCTTCCTGATCACTCAGGAGGGATCAAGGCATGCTGTGGATGTTGGTGGGAGGAGGGTACGTACAGTTAGCCATCAGCCCTGCTTCGGGTACCAAGTGTGGAAGGAGCAGGGTGTAGGGGTTGCAGCCCCCCTAGCCTCCTTCCTCCAAACTTCCCCCAAACGCTCCCCCCTCTCCCAAGCACACAGTCCTTGTTGGCAGTGCGGCACTGCAGCTGCCACCAGACCCAAGCAAATCTGATAATGCAGGGTGAGGAGTGGGGGGTAAAATCAACCAAGGAGCAAAAGAGCCCTTTGTCACATGTGCGTTATTCTCCGGGGGTGGCATTGCTGTTTCCCAGGCAGCAGCAGGTTGCGAGGAGAGCTGGTAGGCAGGTGACCGGGGCGAAGCAGAGAGCCACCCGCTGCGGTGAGAAGGGGATGCTGTTGGCAATAAACAGCAAGCTACAAAAGGAGGCAGGGACTGCAGAGAGGGAGCTGAGGAGGTCTCCATAGAGACACTTCACCTGCTGCCATGGGTGCCTTTGGGGATTGGCACCGTCTGGGTCCTTAGGAAGAAAGGCGCCTGGCACGGGTACGGCAGGATGCTCGCTGTCGGTGCTGCCTGCAGCGAGGTGGAGCCTTCCAGGCCCACTATTCAGAGGAGGAAAAAATGGCATTGAAATGATGTTAAGGTTGGGGCCCAAGACATTCAAAGAGTGCATGCCAGCTGCTTGCTCTCAGAAAGGGGCCCAAAGCCCCAGAAGGAGGGGAGCGGGCAGAGGAAGGGCAGAGATGCTGCATTTCCCTGGGCTGACAGTGTGGTGGCTTTCCTTGCCTCAGGTGCAAGCTGACCATGGCAGAAATTATCCTTTTGCTTGATCCATACTGTTGTTATTTTGAGGCAATGCTCGCTGAGGGACGGGGAGATGGGAAAAGCTTCATGCCGACAGCGACCAGCCATGCTCCAATGCTGCAGACAGCATGGAGGTAACCTAACTGCTGTCCCCTGGCTTAGGTATCACTTCCAGCTGGGAGGTGGTGACAGGCTGTATGGGTGCTTCCAGCCTCCAGACTGGAGCTGTGGATGTTCCTCAATTCCCCAAAGTCAAGAGTGTGCATGCCCATCCATGGGACGTGTCAGGCTATGGCTGTGCTGCGCGTGGAGGAGAGGTGCATAGGCTATTACAGAGCAAGCACACAGAGACCTTCCTGACCTCCTTGTGGTCACATCTGGCAGAGGACAGAGGGCCGGCTACTCCTCCCTTCCAGGCTGCACTGTGCTTCTAGATGAGGTGAAGATTCATGGCTTGAGGAGGAGATGAGACATGGAGCAGCTGTGCTCAATAAGCCCTGGTGCTTGTTTGGCGGGGATGTATCTGAGCTGTGCTGCACTAGCGTTTTGGACTGTTCCACTTGAAGTGGGACTGTGGGACTCAAAGCTGGAGTTTCCAGAGATCCCTTTGAACTGGTTCAGGAGGGTGAAGGGAAATGACAGTATAGAGCCAGACCTTTTATCTCCTTGTGCTAGAGCTGGGGTGTCAGTGATGGATACGATGAATTGACGGTATGGGTTGTGCTCATGTGCCAAGTGCTGCGTCACACGGACATGGAAATCACCGAATCCACCTAGCGTAAACAAAGGAAATGGGGAAGTGATTTACAGTAAAATTAATAAAAATGTGGTCCATCTCAAAAGGGAAATGCACAGACCACTCTTTGGGCTTTGAGGAGGGTCAACAAGACCGAGTGGAGAATGGGCCAGAGAAAAAGGTTTTCTCTGCAGCCTTGGGAGTAAGCGATGGACTCACCCAGCGCCATCCTGCCCTGGGATCCCCCTTCCCAGGCAGTGGCCCAACAAGCCCAGGAGGACAGCCCAGAGGAAAGCTGGCTTTGCTTCATGCCTCTGTGCGCACAGCCATGGGGAACTGCTGGTTTGGGAGCACGCTCTCATCACTCAGGGACACATGAGACCCAGGAGCAGCTGGCTCTCTCGCGAAACTGTCTGACCAGAACAGGAGTCATTTCCCTTTTCCCCTATTCCCTGCAGAAAGTGCCGGGTTGTCAGCAGGTTGCGTGAGGTTAAACAGTCACATCTGAAGTGCTTCTCCGCCGTGACGTGTCTGAACCTCTGCAGCTCTGTGTCTGGCCCTGCTCCTTGTTGTTGCCTACAGGAATGCATGGAGAAAAAAAAAGAGGTAAAAATTATAAGGGAAGCGGTAGGGACAGACACCACCTGGCTCTCCTCTTTCATCCACCAACTTATTTCTCCTGAGTGAAGCAAAATTTCTCCATGTGTGTTCCAGCAGAAAACAAAAGGGGGACTAAGCTGTGAGAGACAATAACAACAGTTAATTACAATTATTATTGTTTTCTGTTAGCTTGGCTAAATGGTGTGTAAGTACAGACTGGGTTGTTTGCAAGATTGTAAAGAGGATGTGTTGAGATGGGTGATGGAGGTTAACAGTTCCCCCTAACATCTGACATGCAACTTTTCAGGAGAAAGATGCTGATGTCATTTGAAACTGCTCTGGTTGATATTAAAGTTTACTGTCCAAAGAAGTATTACAGTGTTGAGGCTAGGCTTGTTTGCCTCGAGATATTTTCTGTCTCTAATTTATCAGATTCTTGGTAGCAGGAGGTAAATGAGAGAGTGGGCATTTGTTTAAAGGCAGATAAGGCAGATAAGGATCCAGGAGGAATCACTGGTGGCACTTGGATCATGGGATTACTTAGCTTGGAAAAGACCCCCAAGATCAGCTCCAACTGTTAACCTAACACTGCCAAGTCTACCACTAAACCACGACCCTATGTCCCTAAGCACCACATCAGGTCTTTTGAATACCTCCAGGGGTGGTGACTCAGCTGCTTCCCTGGGCATCCTGTTCTAGTGCCTCCCAACCTTTTCAGTAAAGAATTTTTTCCTCATATCCAACTTAAACCTCCCCTGGTGCAACTTGAGGCCATTTCCCCTTGTTGCTTGGGAGAAAAGACTGATCCCCATGTCACTACAGCCTCCTTTGGGGCAGTTGTAGAGGGCATGAAGGTCTCCCCTGAGCCTCCTTTTCTAGGCTCCTAGGGTAAATAATCCCAGTTCCCTCAACTGCTCCCTGTAAGACTTGTTCTCTAGACCCTTTGCGAGCTTTGCTGCCCTTCTTTGGTCATGTTCCAGTACCTCAATGTCCTTCTTGTACTGAGGGGCCCAAAACTCAGTCATTTACATCTCTTTTGTGTTTTTAAGAGGAAACTGACCCTTCATCTGTCCCTTTGCTTTTCTTCCATTCCCACCATCTAAATTCTACCCCCTACAACAGCCTTCAGCAGCCCTCCTGCTACACAGAAACTTGCAGGTCAAAATAAAATGCAAACACATGTAAACACCAAAAGAAAATGCCAAAACCCAGATTCTTTTATTGCACTGGTAATGCCTGAGGCTAGAGGACAATAAGAGTTTATCCTTCAAGCCACTCTCTGGTCAGAAGAAAATTACTCCCCCAAACCACCCATTGCACAGCATCAGAGCCCATGAAGTACTTCATAAGGGAATTTTCTTCTGAGTCCCAGGTGTGTCAGCTGTGGGACACCAGCACTAGCAGAGAGATGGTCTGAGAAGTAGCAGTGGGAGCTGCCCTCAGGAGTAGAATGGCTTTTGGAGGGCATTAGACTTGACAGTCACATTATATAGCCCAGATGTCCCCTGATTTTCAAATGTTATCTTTGAAATCTCCAATGCATCTTCATTCTTACCACCATGACTGTCCTCTAGCATCTTCCCTTTCGGCTATGGTAAATAAAAGCTCCATAGGGGGGACAGAGAAGGAAAGAATGGCCAGATTTGAATGACCAGGCTAATTCACGAGCATAGCCAAAGTATGAGCAGTAGGCCATGCTGCTTCACTAGAAAGGCATGACACAGGAGATGTAATCAGCAGTAACCTGAACTACTGATTTGCATTTCCCCTGAAGAGTCACTTTTCTGAGCTCTGGGATTGCATAAAGCCTTCAAAAGTGAAAAACTTATGTAAACTAGATGATTAATAGACCAAAGAATTTTAAAATTATTTTCAACATGATGTTTCTTTTATGAAGCAATGCCAGCTACTAACACAGGCACAACTTCTTCTGAAAATGCTGGATGAATGCCTGCTCTTACTGGTTTTCCACACAGCTGGAAAGAATTCCTTGAGTGGAAAAGTCCCTGGGCAGGCAGCTTGTATCTAGAAAGATCCTCTCTGGACACCCTATGAATATGCACATTGTCGGAGTGTTTTCCAGAACCAAGATGGACTTGGGGAAGATGCATCTGTGGGGGACCTGTCTCTGCAGTTCTTGCCCAGAGGTCTCTAACAAAGGCTGGGGTAGAACTGGGTTGGCCTTTGCTGAAAACAAGGGCTGCCCACAAGTGGCTTTGCATGGTGTTGGCAGTGGATCCTCCACAGAGTACATTCCTTCTCTTGAAGGTCATCCCTTTCAGTGCTTTGGAGGCGACGTGCCCCCTATCCAAAAGGTCTCTTTGCAGCTCTGTGAGGTTATGCTGAGGTCCCCTGGGATCACTCACACCAGGACTTTGGTCTTCAGAAGTCTTGGCCCCATGCACCGTCCCCTAGCCATGTAGGGAAGGTGGCATCACAGATGTGAGGTTGCTGCCTGCATCACACAGAGGTGAGCAGGTCTTGGGGTTGCTTTTCCTCATCCAAGCTATGGGGCAGCTGGGCCTGTGGGACAGATGTGTGCCATGGGAATGATAGACAGCAGGATCTGCTGTGACTGCCTTGGGGAATGAGGGAGATCCAGTCGTAAACTGGGATCCAATGCATGTCCTGCTGGATGTGAGCTGCTCATGCTCAGACTGCAGGGAACTGCTCCTGAAACATAGGGTGAATCATGTGAGTTTTTTTATTTTATTATTATTTTTTTTATTCAGAGTCCCCACAGTACCAGAAATAGTTTTGTTGAAGCATTTTGGTAGCTCCCTGACCCAGAGAGCCTTGAAGCAAAATCTGCTTTGTTAGTTCAAAATAAAACTGTTGATTCTGAGGCGCAGGGGAATGCATAGGAGAGGCTATCTTTAGTAGTCCTAATGTATTGTAGTCTTGTAGTGGTTTTGTTCGTTTAAATGTAATTTGGCATTAAATATCATTTCTGCACATAGTGTGGAAAAATGGACGCTCAAATTCTTTTTCAGTACAGAGAACCTTAGATTAATTGACCAAAAATTGCTGCTTGCACATAATCTTTTATTTCCAGACCATCATATTTTCTAAAAATATACACAGGGCCCTGTGACAAATTGTAATGGCTCCAGACTAGCTCTTGTAATGAAGCTGAGGCGGTCTGTTGAACAAATCAACTATTTCATCAGCCTGTATTTATATTATAAGAAACTACACTGCAGTATGATAAATTCGCCATCTGGTCACTTACCGCTCTACACATCTGTATTATATTATCAGTTTAGACCGTAATGGTAGGATTCATCCCTTCTTTATTTAGCAGATAGGTGTTTAGTCTAAGTCATGCTTCCTGGTAGTCCATGGAGGCATCTTCAAAGAGCAGTTTAACCTCTCCTCCTCCTGCTAACACCATTTATCTTGGGATGGAATGAATTATCCTTTGGAAATACCTCTCTTTCTCTCTCCATTGACTTTGGAGAGTGCAAGGATGACTGGCCTAGACCAGACAGCATGCGGGTAAATGGGCTTGGGCTGCATCAACATCTTCTCTGGTTCTGTGTGCAGTGAATGTGAATACCTCTGTTAATATCTGCTGAGAAAGATGCTTTTAAGTGCACCCAGCTAGGCTCACACTGTCAAAACTGAAAGCCTAGAGCTTGCAACCTAAAGTCTTTATTTAGACAATAAAATATGAGCTTGTCTCTCAAACTTGGTGGAAAGAGCCTCACTGATTTCTGGCCAGGGTTGTCCCAGTTTCCAGGGGTGCTGGGCACTTCCACTGCAGCTGCTGGAGGAGGGGGTTGCCTCAATGAGTATTAGGGACCAAAGAGTCTGAATTTGGCCCCATTGTAGAGTCATTTCCTGGTGGTTTTCCTTTCGTTGTGTCTCTCAATGAAGAATACCTCCTTAATTTTCTATATTTACTTTCCTTCCCTCCTTTTGTGGAGTGTATTGTACAAGGCCCTGGCTATGACAATGTCCTTTTGTGTCAGGAAATGCTCTGAGCATCACACCAAAGCAGTTGCTGTTCAGTGAGATGAGGTCATTTCAAGAGAAAGGTTTGGCAACATGTGCAGGGCTGTCCTTGCTTGGAGACAGAGAACCTGACTTGGGAACTGCAGCCAGGCAAGGCACATGAGGAAATGCCTGTACAACCGGTGCACCACTGAGGTGTCCTCAGCAGGAGGAGTGAGCAGAGTTCCTCAAAAAGCAGCTGAGGTCAATGCCTACCCCAGGAGCCACTTGGCTGCTGGATCCAGCAGTGGCAGGTAGCTTTCAGGGCAGCTCAAACCAGCCGTTAGATTACACAGGTCATTGAAAATACAGAATTTGCTGTGGTGGTGGCTCTCACACAGCCCATGGTTTCCATTAAAGGAAACTTCTGGTTTCATCAAACTGATGCTTGTCCTGCAAAGCACCATGAGAGAGCAAATATCCCTACAGAGTGAATGGAAATCCTGATAGAAAATAAGATGGTTTTCCTAACAGTGGAAGACAGATACATAGGTAGAACAAACTGGAGTTACATGAGTTATCTTGAGTCTTAATTTAGATTGAGTGGTCCATTTAATGAGACTCACTGCAGACTAGCACAATACCTTCTGCCACAAAGATAGGCAGTAGTCACTCTTCCTTGTTTAATCAGTCTAAAAAATTACACTACAGTTGTGCACACTTTTCTAAATCTGGCCTGTCATTCTTTGTCTGAGCCCATCTGCCCAAATGTGCAGACCTGGATTCTCATCAGGGACATGCATCCCACCAGTGTGGTGGGATAGAGAACCTGTCATTTCTAAGCCATAGCAGAAATCAATCTGTCCTGATGAAGCTAAACAACAGCAAAGCCAGTATCTGATGCAACTGAAAACAGAAACAAGCCAACTCATTTTGTAAAAACACAGAGGCTGAGGTACAGCGTTATTTGTCTTTGTGTTTTCCATCTAGATCAGAGAACTGACCTGAAATTTAGCTTCTCGATGAGAAACTGTGCCTTCCTCTGCACCCCCAACAACAGCAAAGTGAACAATGCTTTGCATTTGCTGCCAAATCCCATTGTAGCACAGTTTATTCTTGTCTCTGTGAATGCACTGGCCTTCTCTGTACTTCCGCAGAGCAAGTTCCCTCTGCTAACAATGGCATCAGCGCTGTCGCAGGCTGCCCACCGCTTCAGCAGAAATATTATCTCATTTCTTACGAGCAAGGCTCAGTGTGATGATGCAATAGAAATACAGATGTCAGAGGGGAGCCTGGACTCCCTCCTGTGCAGCTTTCCCTGCACTCGTGCCCAGTGCTCCAGGAAAGCGGAGCGCTGGCACTCCATGGAGCATGTGTGGGTGGCTGGTTGATACTGCAAGCTGGAAAAATACCAGCTCATTTCTCCCCAATAGA